AAAGGAAATAGAAAAAAACCTCTACCAAGACTGCCATTAAAGATTGTGCCAAAATTGCAGTCTTACAGTCTAAACACATCAAAATTAAATAATAATAATCCACTACCCCAAAATTATGTCTGTCTGTCTGTCTGTGTGTGTGTGTGTGTCTGTGTGTGAAAAAGAAAATTGACTTCTTGATGTTTCCATCATTTACTGGGAGGACAATAGTTGTATTTCAATTTCAACATGAGTTTCATCTTATTTTCACATAATTAGCAGCCAAAGCAGGATCATGAAATGTTCTCACTCCATATACACTAAAAAGCAGAAAACCACAGTATACAGTCTTTGATCCTTTTTGCTCACTGCCTGATGAACAAGATCATAAATTCTTTATACTTTTTAACTAATCAATTATGGAAAGATACTTAATTTTTCCCAGCAGATTTCAGACAAGCTGATTGTCTAGAAAGCTGCAAATCACCCATCAGCCTTTGAAGAAACTCCTCCATCTCCATTAGATTCAGTCTATGAAAAAAACTGCAATCTGAGTACTATGTTGAGGAAGTCCTATTTCGGATTGAGAAACTTCTCAATGTATCCCTCCACAACAGCCACTAAAGGTATCTGATCATCTTCCACAAATCAGAAGTTTAAAACTCTAATTTTTTTCTTGCAGATTTGACCTTGAGTTTGAGCCAGTTCCTTTTAACACATGACCAGGACAGTAAAATGTACATCTACATTAAGCAGGTTGAATGCTAAGAAAAAAGGTTAGGCTACAGAATAATAGAAACTGAATAAGGAAAATTTCAGCCTTCACTAATTAGTGAATTCATTATGGCAGGGCCTCTGTGATTGCTTTGAACTTCTTTTTCCCATTTTGGTTAACTGAAGGGCTAATGCGTCTTTTACCAGATAAGTCAAAAATATCTGTCTGCTCCTGTTTGCTATATTTTGAATTATTCTGTTTTCTTTCTCAGCCTTTGCAAGTTCTCTTACAATATTGCCTCAAAGTTCTTTATCTTGTCTTGAAGTAGGAGGTGGGATTCTAGGGATTTGTGGGGGGCATCAATATACAGATGATGAAGCATAGAGCCGAACTATTCTTTCCCATGATTTCAACATTATAACTCTGTTGAGGCAGTCAAGATTGCATTGGCTCTTTTTGCAGCTGCAGCACACCCAGATCTGCCTCACGTGCAGCTATTGCTGAGCCAGATACCACCTATCTTATACTGGTGCATCTGGTAGGAGTCTTTTAATTGTCACCATGAGTTCACTATTTTATTGCTTGTTTCTTAAAGGAATGCTTTAAATAAAATTAATGTTTTAAATTAATATTTTAAGTCAATGTTTTAAATAAAATGCTCGCTTCATTGTACTTGCCATCTGTTATCCTTATCATTATGTTTTATTATAATTTGTTTGATTGTTGTGAGCTGCCCAGCATCACTGAGAGTCAGATGGCACGCAATTTTAATAAATTATTTATTAAATTTATAAATTATCCCTATGACTTCAACCCGTCCCACCCGATCGCACAAAGAGGGCATGCTTCGGACCCCTTCAATGAGAGAACTTCGACTGGTGGGGTCCAGAAGGCGGGCCTTCTCTGCAGTAGCCCCTGCTCTTTGGAACATTCTGCCCCTGGAGGTGCGATTGGCCCTCACACTCCTGGCCTTCCGTAAGACTTTGAAGACCTGGTTTTGCCACCTGGCCTGGGGTGGGAATACCACAAACATGGGGATGGCTAGCCGCATAGAAGCCCTCTGTCTTCAGCCTCAGATTTTCATCCTCTTGGACTCTCCTTCTCCTTTTTAGTAATGTGTTTAACTAATGTTTTATGTATTTATATCTATTTATGTTTTAATGTTGTGAATTGCCCAGAATTCCCCCATTGGGGAGAGATGGGCGGCTGAAAAATGTAATAAATAAATAAACGAAATAAAATAAATTTTACTGTTTACAGATGAGAAACTTCTAAAAATTAATATGATTTCTTAAGAAGTATCTTTCAATGTAGATATTTTATTCTATTCTTTGTTGTATTTATTTTATTGTAATTTGTTTCACTGTTGTTAGCCAATTGGAGTTGTTGAGAGTCAGGCGGCATCCAAGTTTAATAAACGTATTATACCTTGGGCCCTGAGGCACAACTGAAGAGGGCTTGAAATAGCCCTCTGCTTCTCCTCTGATGTTTCTCCTCTTACCTGAGCTGCAGATCCAGCTACTTTTTCTGATCCACCATAAAGAGGAGAAAATCCCACAAATAAAACTGACATCGCTGTATTCCCTGTAAGAAAATAAAAGGTGAAAGCAATTTTTTTTTAAAGCATAACGAATATAGGTAAACATTTTACCTAAGACAATCCAGAGCATAAGAGAGAGCTGGAATTTGTCTTACCTCCTGAGAAATCCCATCTTTGATCTTTCTTGGAGAGCCCTCTGAAAAGTAGCTTCTTAGAGGGATTTGACACATCTCTTCTCTTAGGATGTCCACTGACTTCCGCTAAGAAGGACCTCTGGAACTAATTGACCAAGTAGAGCAAAAGAGAAAAAAATGAGGGAACAGCACACAAGAAGTAGAATCTCATTCTTCCCAACAAATTAACTCCCCCTATGTCCATCAATAAGAATGGAAGGAGGGAATGGAAGAATTGGAGAGTGGACTCTGACTTTGATGCAGCTCCCACAGAGGCGGCTTCAGCTCAGTGTTGCTTGGTTATCTGGGATAAGTTCGATCTTGTTAGTCCTGATTAAATGGGCAAGGATCTTGGAAGGGTTAGCTCAGCCACATATCTGCTACATTCAGATGATGTGTGGTTGTGTCCTGGCAGTGGTTAATTTATCTATGAGAGAGGGGGTGGTCCCACCAATGTATAAGCAGACGGTGATTTACCCCTTCAAGAAGACACTGTTGGACCTAACCATTCATGAACAATTTTTCTCCTATCTCCAACCTCCCCCTGCCTCTCTCTATTGGTTTCTCTTGCTCTACTAGGACTGACAGGAGAGGCATCCTTTGGGCCCCATCACTTAAAGAGGGTCACCTAGGGGGACATAGGAGGTGGGCCTTTTTTGTTGTTTGAACTGCCCTCTGAAACACCATAACCCCTGGGATTAGATTGGCCCCAAACCGCCATTGTTCTTGGGCACGCAGGTTGGTAGGTTAGTGGGGGCTTGTGAGATGTTATTTTATTGTTCATTTGAGATTGTCCCTGCTACCAATATGTTTTATTAATGTATTGTGATGGTTGTTTTAGTGTTCTGTTTTTTAACTGTCACTCGGTGGCCATTTTGTTCCACCACCACCACCACCACCACCACCACCACCACCACCACCACCACCACCACCACCACCACCACCACCACCACCACCACCACCACCACCACCACCACCACCACCACCACCACCACCACCACCACCACCACCACCCCGGTTTTTAAGTGATGTTAGCTGCCCAGAGCTGCTAGGGTGAGGTGGGTGAATTGATCTTAACACATCCACGGGAAGGAGCAATGGAACAATTTCCTAAAAAGTTAGTTAAACGTTTCATTAATGCCAGAAAATTCTGTTAGGGAATCACGTAAGAGTTCAAACATACTGTTTATGAAGGTGAAAGCCGA